TTACGATGCAACATTGTCTATACACATGCAGCATCAAGGTTAAATGTGACCCCAATATTTGCATCAAGAACACAAGCCCTAAGGTTGGACCCATGATTTTCAAAAATAGTATACATGTGAAAGAAATCATGATAGCTTATCAGTAAGATGCGAAAATCATAAAGTTTACACTAAATGATTTTATGTTTAATGCAGGTACCTTTCAGTTAGGTGGGGTATTGATCTTTCTAAAATGGTTGTGTTTGTGGGTGGAAGAGGGGATACAGATTATGAAGACCTACTGGCTGGCCTCCACAAGACCATTATTATACGAGGCTTAGTGGAATACGGCAGTGAGAAACTTCTTCATAGTGCAGAGAGTTTTAAAAGAGAAGACGTAGTCCCCCAAGAAAGCTCTAACATCAGTTTCGTGGAAGAGAAATATGAAGCTGCTGATATCTCAGCTGCTCTAGTGGCTATGGGGATTAAGTGATATTTAACCTTGCTCTATTTCTCTTTCCTTATCCTAACTGTGATTTGCATATAATTATAGGCAACAATCTCTTCCTAGATTACAGTTGCACAATAAACTCATAGGAAATCAGTATCGGTGCATATGACAAGACCTTTATTCTGATTTCTGAATATCATATAAAGAGGATTCATGTGCTATTTAAAGGAAAATGTATGTGTTCTCATATCTACATTTGATAAGCACTTTTGCACAAGCATTCTCTTAACCAATAATATCTACAGCATCAGATGATATCCTCTTGTTCAAAAAAGATACCATTGAGGTTACTCTAGCTCGCTATGTACTACCAGCTACATCCACATTAGTCCATGTTTACAGACAGACTATTGGTTTTACAGTACTAGTTTCTTGTTAAAGTGCACAGTTACCAGCACAAGAGCAGGTCCATGACCGGTATCCTTACCCTTCCTGCTTATCCATGGTTCATGTCCTTGATCGACCGGTATCCTTACCCTTCCTGCTTATCGACATGAACACATCATGCACAAAGCTCCATTGCCACCTTGTATTCCACTCCACATGCACATTTAACCATATGTGAAATATCCTGTAAGAATAACCCATGAACATGAACGGTTCAGTTAGGTCAAGATCAGTTTTTCTGGATTAAAAACAGGAAAACCTGGATGCAAAATAACAAATGATTCCTGGCATGGATACAGCACTACAATTCTCATTTTTACAATCAGGATGAATAAAAAAAAGGGTTCTTGAGCTGGTAAAAGTAAATCATAAGACAAATCCAAAAAATCCCAAAAACATTAAAAAGATTCAAATCAAGCGACAAGAAAATAACAAAGAAGAAATAAAGAAACCACAAATCTTGCTTTAAGGTCCTTCAAAGTACACGGGTTGCTTGAAAACTAACAGAAGAGTAAGAACAGAAGCACTAAACGATAAAAGAATGGACCTAATTTTTCCTCACATGAAACAGAATGGAAAGGCAAAACTAGGTGGATATTGGTCGAATATTTTATGAGCATGTCCCAAACCAAAGAAAATATGAATTCCATTCCCATTTTGAACAAAGTGTACCTGAAATTTCTCGAGGAAATGTAAAAACACAATCCAAGACTAAAAACAGACACGGTAAAAGAGCCTCTCAAGAAGTTGCAGTCTTGCAGAGGAGTTGGATAGCCTAAGACACTCACTTTGACACCTCTGAAGGGAAATACCATTCCAGTTAGGCACCTGGTGTTGATTGACACAAACAGTTCTCCCACAAATCTTGCTTTACAGTCTAAATCTTTCTTTGCAAGGGGAGATGGCTGATGGGGATGTGCAGTTACTGCATCCAATTTGTTGTATCAAGAGGGGAGAACAAGAGGGGGAGATGGCAGAGGAGGTAATCTACTGATCTCTCAAGTTTCACGAGGGGAGAGAATGATAGAGACTGAGAAAGAGGTGGCTGAGAGAGAGGTGGCGCTAGCAAGGGGGCTGGGGGGAGAGTGTGGCTAGTTGGTGGCTGCTGATGTCAATGCAATGGGAAAGGAGGAACATGTTTTAAGGTTAGGTTAGGTTTCAATTTATACCCTGTTTTTTTAAGTTGCTTTACATATGGTCTAGTCCAGTTTACAAAGTTTCAACCGGTCTGAATGATTTTTATGGTTTTTAAATCATTTTTTCCCTCTCATTTCAGTGTTTTTGGTTGATATTTTTTCGGTTTTTATAGTTTTCTCGATTGATTGGTTTTTTTGAACATCCCTACTACCACCCATGATCATGACTTCGGTACCTAAAACACCAAACACATGTCTGCTGAGATTTCAAGATGACTGCAGCAACAATAAAGTCTAGTCAAACTAAGCATCTTTTCTTTCAACTATTTATTTATTATAGATTTTCAGAAAACAGGAATTCTATGCATGGAACATTGTTGCACATGGATTCTAATATTACCCATCATTGGAGGCCCCTTCCCAATGAAAACCCAGCTTCGGCCACTTCTTTCACAACCATTTCATCTAGTATGAGACCCTGATTTCAGCCAAATGCAGTGAAAAGCTGTTGAAAACATTTACCTTAAGTTGCTTAATTTGCTTTTGCAGAGATTGTAAATACTCGATTTCTCCATCTCTATCTGATAAAAGAGCTTTGTATTCTTCTTCCAAGGTCTTAATGTCCATGTCAAAGAGCTCTGTCTACAGTCACAGGTATTTGTTGAGAGGTCAAGCATAAGAATTACATACGAGAAAATATTCATAAATTATCTTACACATAGGAGAACATGTGAGAATAGTAGTAAAAGCCACTCGTCATTTTGTTAGGTTCATTAGGCTTGGAAGCTCGATAATAACTATATGGAATACCAATATTGGACTATCCAAACAACAACATTTTTTTTCTGGATAGCAGGGACAAGGATAAAGGCGGTGCCCAGACAACAGATATAGGGTTGGAAATTGTCAAAAACTTCAAAATTTGGCATTGAATTTGATGCCTCCAGACAAAATCATCTGAATCCAAATAGGCACACAAACAAGTATTTATGCACACATATATGTACTGACTAGACGTCTAACCTTAACATCTTTGGCACTGCATTTCAACTGCTCAATAGACTGCTTCATCTGGAATAAGGCAGCCATGACTCGTTAAAATTCACTACATTCAAGGATAGATACAAGCAAAATATGTATTATAGTTTTTAGGATATGTTTGCTTTCCTCTAGAAATTTCTTCCTAAATCTCTTTCTTTTTTTTTCTCCAAAAGATGTTTGGAGGGGTTAATGCCAAGCTAGAGTAACTATTATAATATATGGCTAGGTCGACTGTTGCAAGTCATAATCTTTGTTCACATCAGATGGAAAAAAATAATGAACTTGAAAAAATTTCCTTATTGCGTGAAGGAATATCAGAAACATAAAATAAGGTTTATAATGATGATAGCTCATTTCTAAGAGAAAAATCTGATTTACAGATGCAGCATAAAGTTGAACATGGTTTTTAGGTATCTACAACAAAACACCATTGAAGTTTAATTTAAACGACCATAATCAGAATAGTAACTTTCTAATTCTCAGGCAACTCTAAAATCAGCCAAATGGAAAGCTAGCTTTCCACTTAAAAATGTTGAAATATAGAATTAAAATGAAGAAAAAGATTAGCTTTAGGCTAAGCAATTAAAAGTTAACAAGTACTTTAGACAAAGATTCTAATTACAAAAAACAAAAAAATGGAGATCTCAGTTGAAGAGAATTAACAAAAAAATATTCTAGAAACAAGAAAATTACTAGCTAAGTGAAGTTAAAAAACAGTACAAATACTACCCAGTAAATGGATGTATTTTGTAAAGCATAAATCAGTGTGCAAGAAATTTACTCAAAAAAGCAACCTTGCTGTTCTCTGTAACAAGTTTGGATGTCAGTTGTGCAATTTCAACAAGCTTGGATTTGGCAGAGTCCAGCTTGGCAATTAGGTTCTTTTCTGCATCATTCCCCTGCTATTCCAAGGATTCACTCAGAAATTGCAACTCCTCGTACATTTTTATTGATGGATGAAGGTTTTTTACCAGATTATCCATGATCAGGTGATTATCAATAGCACACTTCCCTACAAGAAAGGTAGAACATGAGATGAAAGTGATTGATACTCCACTTCTAGGACGAGAGATTACATAACCAAGGCTAGGAAGAGAGGTTACGAGGATACACAGACATTCCCTTTCACTTGTTCCTTTTCTTTCTTTAAGCCTTGCATATGATAGACTTTTCCCTTTCATTTATCTCTTCTTTGTTCTATCCACACATCACAATTTACACCAAAACAGGAAGACCCTGACTTCAAATCCTAAGACATTTCCAATATAATTTTAGGGTTTTCAAACCATGTGTGGGGGACTACACATGAGGGAGAGTTTTAAAAGCGGTGCCACAAGCAAACCACTCTCTAAGAGATCTAAAAGCTTAACTTTCACCTTTGTTTAAGTCTTTTGCTGTTAGATAAATCCCAATATGTTGCATGTACCACTTGCAACCTACAAACTTATCATGTTCTTCGAATGTTATGGTTCACTCTTTGTTAACTTTGTGAAATAAAGAGATCAAAATATGAATAGGCTACTAGAGTTAATATTGAAATAATTAAGAACTACAATATTTAAAAATTTCATCTGCCACTTATCTCTAGCAACACGTAAAAGTAATAAAGAACCATACCTTCAGTTTTTGCCGTTTGCTTGTCAAATTCTTCCTTCACCTGTAAACTTTCTCATTAGTGCTTTTGTTATGATACATTTATCAGTAAATATTCAAAACTTTCTAAGATCAAATGTGTAAATGACAGTGAAGAAGATCTGAAGAAGCTAAGAAACCAAAGCCAAGATAGCTTGGCAAAATACAGCCCCCTGAGTGCTCCAGTTTGAGCATCAATCCCAACAGTAGTTGTGTGATTGGGAAGAAACAGGCTTGTTTTTTGTTTTTCGTTTTTCAGTAAGAAAGTAATTTAATTATGATACTAGTTTGGGCCACATAGAAGGCGCGAAGTAGAAGGCTTGTTTTTTGTTTTTCGTTTTTCAGTAAGAAAGTAATTTAATTATGATACTAGTTTGGGCCACATAGAAGGCGCTTCTTCCTGTAACATTATGAAGCTAAACTTGTAATCCAACTCAAATGACTTCTTCCTGTAACATTATGAAGCTAAACAACTTGTAATCCAACTCAAATTAATAATAGTGCAATATGGATCTTACTATTTAAAATTTGATGTGACATTATATGAATTCCAAAAGTAATATACACATAATTAAGCTCTAGCCAAGCTAGAGAGCAATTATTTATATTTGTATTTAATCATGCAAAATAAATAAACTCGAGAACTTTTCTTGGGGACTAGGCCTTCTAGCAATTTTCAACATATTTCTTCAAAAACAAATTATCTTTTACAAAAAATAAATAAATAAATGATGATGATGATACCTACTGATATTCTTCTATAGAAAAAAAATAATATAAAAATATAAAAATTTCTACCACCTCCTCACCAATGTTTTGGCTCCAATGAATGTGTTATTTGATATTTTCAGACTATGAATCTTTTCTTTTCTTTTCTTTTCTTTTCTTTTCTTTTTTCTTTTATTTTTTTCCTGGTTACTGGAAATAGCATTCTTGTTAATTGAATAGCTATAAAACCAAGTAAACACATAGACCAACTTTAAGTAAACTTTAATTAACTAATATATTTATTGCTTTAGTCTCCTGTTTTTCAAGAAGTTTCATATCAAACAATGTGATATGAATAGATCAAGCTATGCATGCCCTTTCTCACTTGATCTTCCTTCTCATCACTGTCAAAATATACCTTAATGGCCAAGAAATTAAGAATCTTCAAGTCTTTTAATACGCACCACATCACAAATCCCACATGCAATTGCTCTAAACTTAGCTTTTGCACTACTCCTTACCACAACACCTTGTTTTTTGCTTCTCCAAGTAACTAAATTCCCTCCAATAAAGGTACAATAACCAAAAGTTGATCTTCTATCAATTAGACTCCAGCCCAATCTGCATAGTTGTAGACTTCAACCCGTAAATGTTCGTGTTTCTTAAATAATATACCTCTTCCAAGAGTCCCTTTCAAGTACTTTAAGATTTTATTAAAGCCATCAAAGTGTTTCAGGCTAGGTGAATGCATGAATTGGCTTACCATGCTTACTACATAGTGTGAAGCCTTTTGCCACAAGCCTTGCCTTGTACTTTTCTAAGCTTCTGTTTGTTTTGCATTTAATCGTAAACACTCATTCAAACCTTACTTTCTTCTTTTCCAATAGCAAGTCAACTAATTTCCAAGTGTCATTTTTGTTCAAAGCATTCATTTCTTCCATGACTACTATCTTCCAATTCAGATCGTCTAGAGCTTCTTGAATATTTCTTGGAATAAACAATTGAGATATCTTAAAGGTAAAAGCTCTATAATTATTTGAAAGTTTTTATTAAGATAAGTATTCAATGACATTGTTTTCTCCTTGCTGAATTTCACCAAATGTCAAAGTGCCACAAACTTGAGATTGATTACCCAAATCACAATACATCTTGTTAAGATTATCCCAAAGTTCCTTTGTCGTTGAATAACACATATAGTTATCATTGATGTCCCCATCCATGGAATTCATAAGCCACTTTAGAACCATGGAGTTTTCAGCATCCTACGTAGCATATGTTAGGCCCTCCCTTGCTTCTGCCTTCTTCTCACTAGTCAAATAGCCTAATTTCCCTAACCCCCGAATATACATGCACACGAACTGAGACCAACACAAGAAGTTATAGCCAATAAAACAAATGGTGGTGATTTGGACTGAGTGTGGCTCATTATTGGAGGCTTGGGTCGTAGCAAGTTTTGTTTCAGACATGGTGAACAAAAGCAAAAGCAGCAAGGAGATGGAAAAGGTTCTAGGGTTTTTAAAAAGAGTTGATGATCAAATCTCTGCTTTGATACTATGAAGACAGAGTATTCTTTGGAGATCAGTTTATCAACTAAATTCAAAATAGTTTATCCAAGGTTCCTATTTGAAGGAGTTCCTATTTGAAGGAGAACATAAGTTTATCCAAGGTTCCTATTTGAAGGAGAACACGAGGCATGAAATCAAGAACAAATCGAATCTATTTTGATTAATATTCTAAGTAGGAGTGACCACTAATTTATAGGATTTGATTAATACCAAATCTATTTTCTAATTTATAGACAACCTGATATGGAATCTTTTATTTTATAACAAATCTAGAGATAAAAGTATCATAAAAGTTGGAGATCTAATAGAAATGAGATAAAAGGCAATGAGAATGTCACCCTTCCATGGATCTTCTCACAAGAAAATATGATTCCATCTCTGACCTTATCTTTAACGCAGGATAACTGCATCAATTTTAGCAAAAGGAGAAACTGATTTCTAACATCCTAGATGACTTACATTAGCTCCAAACTTGGCATTCAACTCACACCCATTCTACTGAAGGTCACACTCACAACCACTTTAATTCAGCTTGCAAAATGATTTTTCAGCCAAAAATAATGATTAGGGCATTTTTCCATTAGAACCAAACACCAAACTCATAGTTCAAAATTACAACGCCACCATAGGGGGAAAAATAAAAACTAAGAGAGTTTGACAGGAGCTACAAGGCTACATTTCCTCAAAACCACTTCTGTATTGAGGAATTTTATCGAGTGACTAACTCTAAGAAATAAAGATTTGTTGCAATTAAATTCAGCTTGCAAAATGATTTTTCAGCCAGAAATAATGATTAGGGCATTTTTCCATTAGAACCAAACACCAAACTCATTGTTCAAAATTACAACACCACCATAGGGGAAAAAATAAAAACTAAGAGAGTTTGACAGGAGCTACAAGGCTACATTTCCTCAAAACCACTTCTGTATTGAGGAATTTTATCGAGTGACTAACTCTAAGAAATAAAGATTTGTTGCAATTAAATTCAGCTTGCAAAATGATTTTTCAGCCAGAAATAATGATTAGGGCATTTTTCCATTAGAACCAAACACCAAACTCATAGTTCAAAATTACAACGCCACCATAGGGGAAAAAATAAAAACTAAGAGAGTTTGACAGGAGCTACAAGGCTACATTTCCTCAAAACCACTTCTGTATTGAGGAATTTTATCCGAGTGACTAACTCTAAGAAATAAAGATTTGTTGCAATTAAATTCAGCTTGCAAAATGATTTTTCAGCCAGAAATAATGATTAAGGCATTTTTCCTCAACAAAATGGAGCAATTTGTACAGTAAGTTACTAGATAAAATCCTAAAAATTAATTTTCAGGTTATAAAGACTAGAAGAAAATTTGAACTTAGCAAAGGCATGATGAGAAATAGAGGGGGGAATAAAATTAAGAAGAGATGAAGCCAAGTACTTGCTCCAGCATTGGACCATGATAACGAGCTCTACTGTCTGGGATTGTTCAATAGCTTAAATTAAGATTTCGCAACAAGGTTGCGCAACTAGTGTAAAAATCAAACCTTCCAGTCTGATCCATATTGAGAGCATGAAAAAAATAAGATGTTTGAAGATATGAAGGCAATAGATGTGTTTATTGTTCTGAGAAGCTTATTCACTAAGTGCTGATCTTGTCTGCTCCTACTATGCATCTCTCTTTTATTTTTCAGGTTTGTTGAAATATGATGCTGCAGTTCTTCAGTTCATGTCTCATTTTTATAAGTAATTACTGTTGCTTATCACATAAAAGGAAAGAAAAGGGGATTTAGCAAGAAGTACCGATCCATGCTCTCCCATTTCTCCACTAATTCTGTGTGTGTGGACCCAATCCTGCACATAGTCAAAAATAGACGTAACTCTCGCAGGTTGAAAATGGGGAGAAATAGCGTACAAAAATTTTGCAAGGTAAGGAGTTTCAAAATCACACCAGTTGTTGTTGTAATTTGGAATTCATATCATCTGCAACCTTTGTATAGTAAGCACTGTTGTAGTAAACACATCAAAATTCACGATCAATATTTTAACATGAGCTTTAACACAATTTAATCACTTAAATTAGTGCCCTCAATAACCTTTTCTCTACAAGTCTGGCAGACAAACTGACTCTTTCTTGTTGAATAAGCTCCAATGTCTGCATGTTAAGAAGAGAAAGTTGGACTGAATCAATAATATGAAACATAGGTATTGATTGTTTTTAGACAATCAAGAAGAGAGTAGCATAACTATTTCCTTGACAGAATACCCATTTATTTCATACATGATAATATCACCTTAAGAAGTTCGATATATATATGACATCCTAAGATCAATATTGTGATGCACATATTCTGCCTACACCCCCCATACTCCATCAAAAAATACTCTCACACTACCATATAGAAAATGTTTGTAGTCATAACATTAAGCCTCAATCAACTATTCAGCCAAAGCTCATAGAAGGATTGAAGCTCAATATTCTCATGTACATTTCCTGCAGTTTTGACAGCCCCAATTTCTTTCCTTATACTTTTTCAGAAATGTGCCATCTAGTGGACTGTATCATATCTGATGTAAGTGACTATGGAGATAGGAGAACTCCTTGTTGTCAACAAAAGGATGTCATTCCAGACATTATATTTATGGTTAAAATTGTCCAAATGAACTTTGCATGCTTAAAATAAGTGTGCATTAACAGGTGTATCAACCCCACAATGGGATTATGGGAAAAAGATAATTATATATATATAGAAGAATCCATCACTACATGCACCGTTTTTTTTTATTATTATTATTATTATTTTGAAGTGGGGGGGGGGGGAACAGCTATAACATACAATAAAGGAACCATTTAACATGTCAATAAAAGAACTAGATAACACAAAGCAGGACCGCAAAAAATTTTCAAACGTCACAATTTGACCCGTATTGTTATTTATATGATGATTAATGTAGTAATTTGTAGTTTTCAATAAAGCATGACAGATTTAAGGACAAGCAAGAAGACCTCCATTTGCTTTCTTCCTCATAAGGTTTGAACTTTGCCTTAATATTCTTCCTCATAAGGTTTGAACTTTGCCTTGTGAGAAACTAGAAATGTCATCTCAAGATGCTAGTGCCTTGTTAGGTAGCAGGTTTTGATGCATATAAAACTTTCCTTAATCATACATCACAAAACTTCATGTGAAAGAAATCATAAGTTTGCAACATGAATTCCAATTTCAGACTGCTATTTAAAAAGCAAGATAAAGTTTAGCATGTTTTGCACTATTTAAAAAGCATGATAACTTAAATTCTCAGATGAATTTAAGTAATCCAAAAGCTATAATCTAAAGAGCTTCAACAAACATTCACATCAATAACATGGCAGTATCCCAGTCAAAGAAAGAGAAGAAACAAATAAGTGAGAATAACCAGAGTTACTTTTAATGATTTTGAGCGACAAAGATATGTTATCACCATTTACCCCCTTTTTTCAGTATAAACAAGTTATCCTGTCCTAAACAAGATCAAATATCAATTATGGTGATCATGCTACGGCTTATTATACATGAATTGGATCTTAAAGTTAAAAAGTAACTTCCCCGGTCATGATAAGCAAGTTTTATGAGAACCACATTATTCTAAGATTCCTTGCTGCATTGTACTCTAGCTGGTTTTCTATTAACTTCTTTTTGTTTTGAGTTATTAGTTATTTATTTTAACTCATTTTAAGTTATTTCTCAAATTATTTCCATTTTGCAGGGTTAGCAACCAATAGCTTAATGCAGAAACACTGACTTTTTTATTTATTTGTTTGTTTATTGAGAGAGAAACATGGACATGGTAAAAAAGCTCAGTGAATTTATAGGTTGCACATGCTAGCTCATCACCTATTTTATGTTGGAGATTTCTCTTATGGCCTTTCTCTACTTTCATTTGTAGCTGACAGCATTGCACAAGTCTTGAACTAACAGACAGAATCATGATATGAGATCATAAATCATCCCAAGAGCAAAATTGTTTTCTTCCCTGGTTTTTTTTTTATATATAATTGGATTACCTCTTCTAGCAAAATTGTTTTCTTCCCTGGTTTTTTATATATATATATATAATTGGATTACTTCTTGTATTAGATTCATGCTACTCTTGGAATACCTGAGCGAGGGTGTATGAATCAGAGTCCAACGAGGCAATCTTCCTCTGTTTTTCCAATATCTGTGAGCATATCTCCCCCTTTGCCTTCATCATCTGCTCAGTGTCTTCTTTGAGTCGTTTTGTTTCAGACTTTGCTGCAAAAAAAAAAAAAGTTGGGAGAACATTGACGATCAGATATCATTAAACAACTTAAATCAAAAACTTGTTTGAACTTCGAGCACAATGGTTTTTGAAAGTTGAAACTCATTATCAAAGAAATTCAAAATGCTGAGGCAAGGCTGGTTATAATTAGCATTATCTGCAGATCACAAATCTTAAACATAAACAATTCCTCATTCTAAGTGACTTTGACTTCATAACCTACAACAAGACGTCTGGCCTGTGCAAATTACAGGTGTCACTAATTTCAATATTTCGAGTTCACTCTAGCTTTAACAAATCACAACTGATGTTTACAAATCAAATTAGCAAATAAAAATTAAGCGCCTCGTATTTTAAGCCTTAGCAGTTAAACTTTTGGCTCTTTGCTTTCCAAAAATGTAACAGTAAATCAAATAAAAAGAGCAAGAAAATAGTTTCCCTCAGTTATTCCATAGCAAGCAAATTAAATTTAGAGAAGAGAGAATTTTAGAAAAAAACTGAAATATAATTGCACGAAAGATAAAATAATAGGCACTGATTGCAATATTTAGAGTTATTCTGAATCGATTACTAAATAATTACGAAAAGAAAAGAAAAGAAACATATAATTGAATATTGAAACTTAACAAGTTAGGTTACACAAGAAATTATAAACAAATAAGTAATTTAAAAAAAAAAAAAGGGAAACACGAACCAGAAGCGAGGTCTTTCTCCAATGTTTGAATGGTAGTGATGTGAGACTGCTCTTCAACTGAAATCTTCGCTGCTTGATCTTCCACTTCTGTACATCCATTTCATTTCAATTTACGTCACTGCCACTACTACAACTACTTGTAGCAATGCAATTTCACAATCACTAAATTTGAGATTAAATGCTTCGAAATTAAGCTTCCGTTGTTGATTTTTTGAGAAAGAGAGAGAGATTGATTACCGTTCATTTGAGAGCGAAGAGTCTTCATGTGATGCAAGTACTCCTCCATCTTCAATGCCTGATTTTCCGAATCAAACAGAATAATCCCTAACAATTGCTAGTATACTGAAAAAGAAATGAGACCAGAAAAATTGAGAGAAACTGATTCAAAATCCACCTTTTGGAGAGAGATAGGAGTGAAAAAAGTTTTGGAGGGAGAATGAGAGTCGTTTGCCCTTTGTAGCCAACCGGCACGGAAACACTTTGTGCGTGAGTGCTCTTTGAGTCTTTGTGAGAGAAACTTTTTGAACTTCTAATTTAGTTATTGAAGTTCAAAAGTTTATGTTTAA